TAGATCGTGCGCCCGGCTACGTCTTGCCTACCCGCCTCCAGGGGCGGATGATTCTCTACCGCATTCGACCTTTTCCACGAGGATGTAGATTACCGTTTACGTAGCCTTTTGTTGCATGGGTCCTCTCCGGCGTTTCCTTATCTGCTGATTACGGGAATGACTCGTTGACCCGTGTGTACACCGACATACGTTCCATCGTTACGTGGACACGCAATCACTTGGAGAAATAGGGAACAAGGTAATTATATGCGCTACTTGTAGTACATTTGCACTAGTACTAACAAAATGAAGTGCATAATATTAATAACAGTTATTTAACCCATGAAAGTCTAGGAGCGTTGAGGAGGATTGATATGAGATGAATTCTGACGTATCGAATTTTTTGGTAATAGGTGTTTCCCATCTGACTTCTAAAATATATTTCTAATACATAAACGAGGTAATGTTTTTGCAAAATACAAATATTTATCGTTCACTTTGTTTGTTTATGTGTATCATATATACAAACATGGCACACTAGTATGGTCTTTCTATTTTTACTGTTATGCTGAATAATTTCAATAAATCACAAATTGTGAATACAATTTGGAAGATTCACAAAGATTGGACACGATCAACTTTAAAATAGCACTGATGAAAGTTGTTTTGTCTGTGTGGTACACTTTACAGATTTACACGTAATTTCATAGAGCTGTTGAAACGCAGACAATTTCCCGGGCCAATGGTCGAATCAGCATTACAAATGGCACTGATAATACAGCCCGACGCGGGTCGTCACGAAAGTTTTACACGACCATTCTTTACCCTGCAACAGCACCCTTGCCGTGCGTTTAGCATTTCATTATGAGCGGAAAAGCTGCTCCGCCGCGTTTATCCCCGGCCACGTTGCAGCATGCATACGCGAAGAGCTTGATTCCAAACTAATAGAAGTCAAAACTTCGCGATTCACCGGGAAATGTTTCACAATAATTGGAAATCGAAACAATCCACAATATTTCATTGGTTACGGAATTCTGTTCTAATTGGTAATCAATACTTTACTGAATGGTGTTACAATTATATTCCAAATATGCTGAGAAATTGTATTTAGTAAAAATAAATTACGGCTATTAATCTATTGAAAGGTGATGTGAAAAAATAATTGAAAATTGTTTCTCTAAAGTAATTAGTACCAACACGACCCCATTATAGTACAAGTCCCATTTATAATTTTCTTTTTATAATCATACATTTTATATAAATTTCACAGTTGCATTAGACTTTATAGATTTTCCTATAGAGATTCGACGGAAATTTTGTCGAACACTATAGCAATATGTGTTATAATATTAACACTTCGAGTACGATATTAAGCGAGACAAATGTGACTAAGGGTCAAGAACTTTCACAGAACCGAAGAAATTAGTGACCTGATAAATAACTATTGTCAATCCTTTTTTCACTTAAAACGTACTTTGTGTGTAAAGTTTTTCTGGACATTCTGTTCGATAGCAGTCCACGTGTTAAATAATTCGGTCAAACTCCTCGCACTATTCTACACTGTATTTAACTTTGGTATTTGGTCCTTACTACAACTCTCTCAGATACACGATACGTTAAACCCTTAGAGCTTCCATGTCCACGTTACACCAAATTCGAAATTTACAATCGGGAAAACCGTAACGCGAATGTTCGGACCGCGAAACAAGGGTCCCGGAGTCTATTGTGTCAACGCTGCTCGCGTGTATCAGCCGGTCCATGAACGCCTCATACCACTACCAAAGAGAAGTACGCGATCTGACTCGGAAAAGCAAAGTAGCTCGTATAATTACTTATGTTTACAAACTTAATTATATTCAGTATAATATCCTTTTTGATTTGTTAAAGTGCTGCGTACAAAACTACAGCTGGTACTTTATGGACGCTATCGAGGGTCTCTATTGCTTTGCTTTTACGCACATATGTGTATATTGAAGATGCTATTTTTATTATTATTTTGTTCGATCATTGAAGATATGAAGTGAATACGGACAATGATACTTGGATGATATTTTTTGACCCCATATATAGTGGGGGAAAAAGTATTCATACACCCTGTAAAACGGGGACAACTTTTTTCAGATTAGTCCGAGTGATTCGAGTTTTTGTGTGAAGTTAGGAACATTAGTTTACTGAATGATGTGTAAAAAAAATTTGAAACGGTTGGAATTGGTCCGATTCGCGAAGAAAATAGTAAAGGTGGCTTTTTACTACTTTTTTATTTGAGACTGTAGTGAGAATTTAATAAATACATTTCGACAATTTGTGTTAGTTATACAATACATGTCGAAAATTTCATAAAAATCAGTTAACGTTGCTACGAGATACAAACGATTAAAAATGTTGAAAATCACAGTTTTTTCCAACTTTCTACCTACAACTGTAGTAAATCTAACAATTCTTTTACATCTTTTGATGCTCGTCGCTCGTTTCTGTATCAACCGATTTCAATGAAACTTTCATTGTGTAAGTAACTAACATAAATCTTCGATATATATTTATTAAATTTTCGTTACAGTTTGAAATAAAAAAGGTGTGAAGAACGACCTTTACTATTTTCCTCGCAATTCGTACCAATAGCAACATTTAACATTTTTTTAAATTGATTTGACTAATGTCCCTAACTTTGCAAAAGAACTCCAGTCATTTGGACAAATTTGAAAAAAGTTGTTCCGTTTTAAAGGGTGTACAAATACTTTTGTCCCCCACTGTATGTACAATAATGAAAAGACGAGAATCCCCGTGATCGGCCTCAAGCTTTAGAATCGTAAACACGAGAATTCTCGTCATCCGTCCGTAATCTTCATAAAATACGTATAGAAACATATACATATATTATGCTCCCGATTAATAGCACTAGAATCAGTTTCTTGTATCAAACTTTCTACATACACACCAATAAGAAACCCCATCATCAGAGGTTCAAAGAACCGATGGTAGACACCTTCAAAGAAGCCCCATTTAATTTGCAATTGTTAGACTTGCGGTTAAGAATCGTGTCCCCGGCGATACCCGGTCTATTGTGTGAGTGCATACGTACATGTACATCACCCTCGTATGAGACCCAGTCCATCGTACTTGCACATACTAGAACGCGGTATGTGCGCGTTAAACCGCTCTACCGCGGAAACGCGTTAAAAAAAATCCTCCCATCCCCCGCGCGCGCATCAACCCTACTCGTGAACTTCCGGTCCTCGACCCTTTCACCCTTTTCATACTCGTGTCCTCTCGCATCCTTCAAATCCGCCCTCCCTTCTCGCCCACCTGCCATCCCGCTGTTCCTCTTATCCTTCCATTAACGGTGTAAACCCCGGGCCGCCCGGGTAACGCATCCTTAAAAATCGTCCGTGGCATATTTAATGTTTGCACTTCGACGCTTCGTCGTAAAGCTCCTTTCGGGATCTAACGGGACTCTCCATTAGTGCTTAATTACACGAAGGCTCCTTTTTCTTCTCCGTTCTTTTTTCCTTCTTCAACCAGGCGTTCCTTCTTTCTTCTTCTTCTACCTTTTCTTTTTTCTCTCGCTACCTCTCGCGCTCTCTTCGGCTACGGGAACATAATGCCTAGTGAATATTCAAGCGCGGAAGTTTAGTAATAACGTTGGCGCAACAGCGACAGCGCCCAAGCGCTCGTGTATTTGTGTTTATACGTTGTAAGTGATACAGGGAAGTGGGGTATCCGGTTTCGAAACGGTCGCTCAACAGGGTGAAGTAGTTGTTACACCGGCGCAGCACGGCGGGCGGGAAGGGGATCGATTCGACTCCTGATCGGAAAAGTAGAATAATACGGTTCATGTCGTTTCTCGGATCGTGATCGCGGATTAAAGGACTGTGAAGCTGTTCCAAACATAAATTCATCATTTTTATGCTTCCTTTCTGTTCTATTTGTTAAGATAAAATAAATATTTATTGAAGGTATGACTGAAAGGAACCCCATTTTCTAATATCCTGATGATATAGTTTAAACTTGGATGACTGGATCCGTTTTGACTCGAGTTTTCGAAAACATCGTCCAACTCTACAGATTCTGATAATTAATTTAAGTTAGTCGTTGTTTATATTCGCATTATATAATGTTAAAGCGAGAGACTTCGGGTTTGGTAACGACGCCCAAACAGAGACAAAATAGAGTCATGGTACGACCGTAGAATAGGAAAGACGTGTCAAGATAAGTACTCCTCCTCTTTAATTAAATAATTCTTCTTTTTTATAAACATTGCATTATTTATTGGAGATCATGCCGCGCCCACGCAACAATATTTTTGCAGAGTCATTACTCTGAGTGGTACCGTGAAGGTTCTAATTGGGGGTCGCCGTTTATAAAAAAGTTATTATCAAAAAGAAATTAATATCGTACCGACCTACTTCGGTAGTATTAGTAAGTAAAATGACTGGTAACTTTGACCTTGGAATATGTTGTCAACGTCACCCTCCTGAGTGAAGTACAGAAAGTTTCAGTTATCAAATGTCGTTTATTAAAAAGTTATTAACAGAACAATAATACCTTTTTCTTGAACAGCTCTAACGAACTCTGGATCATTTTTTATTTCTTGAACTGCCTCCAACCAACTCTGATGATTTTTCTCTCAATCTGGGTCTAACCAACTGAAACATTATACTGATCGGAGTTGGTTAAAGACAGTTCAAAAGAAAAAGTAACTTCTTTTAACAATAAACTCCCCCAAAGCAATAGACGAGTTTCTACTTGAAATAGTGTACCTAAGACTGTTTTTACTTGAAAAGAAAAAGAATTTGTATTTAGTGTGATATGCTTCTATTTACCTTTCCCATTAAAATAGTACTTTTAATAATTCCTTGACTCCCCACTAAAACCTTCACAACACTACTCAGGCTGATGACCTTGACACCGTACTGCTCATAATCATCGAAATCAGAGGTGGCTCCTTTATTATAAATATTTACCAAGTTACTAAATATCATCCAGTAACATTCTCATCACTGGACCAGAATCGTGGGTCAAAAATGACCCGGCTGGTCAGGGCGATGTTTAATGCACGCAAGACCACGGTCGATCACCAGCTCCGGGAACAACAAGATTCAATTAAGGGACACGAGATACCCCGAGGTCCCGAACGTGAGGCATCAATCCGCTCGCTGTGATGCAGTTCGAAATGGTCCGTGCCGGCGATTCGTGGGCGGCATACGGGGCAAAGCGGTAAGAATTATCGGCGCGGCGTGCCACATTGTTGCGAGCGGGATCCGTGTGTGTATGTAAAGGATAACCGAAGCGGATTCGGAGCGAGCGTATGCATATCCGTATGGAAAGGAGTTCCCGTATCTCACCGGTCAGAGCCACTTAATTGACACGCGGCGCGTCCCTAACACGCGGCGACCTCCCATCCGGAGACTGCTACTCCCTCCCACCCTTCCCGCCATCCTCATCCCCCCTTTTTTCCCCAATACCTCTGTCTCCGTTCCGCCCGTCAGCCAACCACGAGCCCCCTCTCTTCCTCAGCGAAGTTCCTCTGTGGCGCGCGAGGAATCACGGATCTCCATCTGTCGTGGCGATACACACCGGCCGCCAATTCCTCGTCGGTCCAATCATGGAAATGGAAATACTTCATACGCGGACAGAGGCTCGGTCCGCCATCGACGACACGGCCGACGAGATAATTAACGGCCCCACTGTCGACAGATATTGCATTTTTCGACTGGCACCGCAGTTTAGAAGATTCTTTGAGATGAAAGCGGAAATTAACGAGGAAGTTTATCGAAGGGGGAGGGAACGCGACTCAGGTAGAGGGCGCCATGGTAAACGACCGTTGAGCAGATTTCTAACGGACATGCGTGAACCTTATTTGTGCAATCGAAAATGGACTGTGCCAGTGTCTTTTGAAGCGGATGATAGGTAAAGTTGAACGGGGAAACGGTTCTGATGGATTGAATGGTTCTTTTGGTGATTGTTTTGTTGCTGGATTGATTGTCAATGGGCAATTGGTTGTGGAGAAGTGTTTGCTGTGTGTGTAATCTCTGAATGAATCGAGTTAGTTGGAATTAGGGGGTGGATGTTTATGCGAGTTTATGATTTTGGGCACTGATGTATGAAAAACCAAATTGGACAGAATTTTCTTTTCTCTAATAGGTGTTTTAATATATTTAATAACAATACATACACTACCGGACAAAGGATGAGACCTGGTATGGTAATTAAAGAAAGGGAAAAATATTATTTTATAAGGTCTTGATAAAAGTAGTGTAATAAAAAACTGATTGAAAATGATTTGTCTATACACTGATTCCGTAAATTTTATTATGCAGGTTGTTCGATATTTTTTGTCGTACGGACCTGATAAGAAGGCCAGAACAATTTCCTTTATACCTACCATTGAATAACCTGACCATTTCCAGGTAACTACCCTAAGCCCTGTAGCTAACGCAACAGTTTACTGTGAGAAATCATAGTTGAAACGTTATGCCATGACGATTCTCACAAGACGTGACATCCTAGTATTTATTTATTACTGACCTCCTTAGCAATTCCAGATTTAAACATTTTCAGCATTTTTTTCGACCACTTGATACGTTCCTATCGGTGATCCCCGTTGAGGATATGGAGTACAGTGTGTGGAGCTTCCGTACTGATAAGTGTTCAAGAAGCAATTCGACGCAGTGTTGTTGTAGAACAGACATTTCTGGAAAACATTTTTCCTTACTTAAACCACGCAAAAAGTTGTAATGAACATTTACTCGAAAGTCACGTTCTGTGAGAGTAATCATGGAACAACGTTTTAGGGTATATGTATACCTGAAAAAGGTCATTGTATTGTGACAGAATAATGAGTTACTGCTCCATCAGTCGTGAACTCTGGCCCAAAATTTTTGGTTATATTTTATTCGCCCACGTGTTACATGTCTGGGGACGCTATAAATTCGTAAACATTTATTGTCTAGTTATAATTATGATACGTACACTAAACATGTTACAGAAACGAAATTTTGCATTCTGTAACATAGAGAGTCACTTGTAACGTGTAAAAATAAATAGAAAACGTTGAATGAACTAATATAATTTGAAAATATCATTTGAAAACTATTTTGATGTGTTGATGATACGTGCCTGATAACCCTCGTGTCTGACTATTACGGACTAGTTCCACTTGTGGTAATTTCGTATAAACTTGATGCTATCATTTTCCAGCTATTGTTCTCTGTAACAAGGGGTTAGTAATGTCGATAGAGAATAGATAATATATAATCCTACTCCAAAAATCACACACTCTCAATTTTTTCGTAACCACATCGTCATCTACACCATACCATGTGGCTAGGACACAATTGACAGCTCTTTTCATTAAATTATTATTAAACACTATTCTTATTCTTGTGTTGCTGTCTGTTACATATTTAAAAGTATAGTTTGTTTAAAACTTACATTCTAATGATAAAGACGAAAGAAATGTAATATTTAACTGTTAGACCTTGATTTCTTAACAATCTTATCTGATGGATTTCCTTGGAAAAATGATTGATACAGTAAAAATTCTTGTCATTAAATACCTAATAAACAATAACGTGTCCATAATACATAAAAAATTCACGACGTATCGAGAGAAAAGTTTAAACAGCCATTCGAGACATTGTTACACAGAGTATTCTCGTTTGTTCCTTCTACTGTACAGTGAATTGCATTTATGATTCAGTAACCTGTTGAATCTTACATTCAATCCCGACCATTGAAGAGAAACCATGAGCACGAGGAGAATTAGTTTCGCAGCGAAATCCCGTATTCCCACTAAAAATACGCGGAACGTACTTGGTAACATCTCCGTAAGAAATATCGATACACTCTTTTTGGCAAGGAGTCACGAAACTCGAGTGACATTAAGGAGCTAAATTCCACGTAGTAGAATTGCCTCGCGATCCGTTTGAATTATCTTGCTGATTATCGTCGTATCGACGTGGCCCGGAGAGGAATAGTTAGTCGCGTCGAGGCACCGTGGACGACGAAGAAATCCGCGTTCGCCGTTAAAGGTATGCTCGTGCCGCGACGAAACGATTTGCCTTATAAGTGACAGCAGGTAAATGTGCCTCGCCGTGTGGCACCTTTTAAGCGCGTCCCGTGCAGCCCTCCCCACGTCGGAACGGTACGAAAGCCGAGATTCTACACGCAAATTTCTGATTACGTATGCGCGCGAAACCTAACTGCAACGCACGTTCCTAGATGGACTTTCGCCTTTTCCCATGGTGCTTGTTAGCTCTTCTGCCGTCGCGACATTCTCACGAATAGAAGCGACCACGCGAAGGAGATTCTTTATTGCGCCGAAATTCTTGAAAAGACCAGGACGATGTGTAGCGCGCACGGTAATTAATCCTTTATGACTGGTATTTAGTAATTAGATTCTTGGGTTCCGACGTAATCGCGATGAGCAATCATCAATCACGAACGTTCTCTTCTATTGTCGGCTATTACCTTCTTACACGTGATATTATTATACTTGAGAAAAGTTCAAGAATCCAACGTGTAAGGAAAAAGCTTATTGAAAATTGAATCATTGGAGAGTTCTTTTCGTCGTCATTATTGCAGTGAAAGAAATGCAGAATGATTTCAAATATGAAAAAGTTCCTTTTTTTTGTTTATTGATTCAAAAAATAGATAACACAGTATATTAAAAATAAGGATAGAGTAGATAGCAGCAGTAATCATGTTTTTAATTGATTGGAGCTACTTTTAGATACAGAAGTAGCATTAGAAAATATATTTAAAAAAAGAGAAATTAAGAATTTATGCAGTAAATAATGAATATTCAGGAGAGTATTAATAAATGGTATAGATGTAATGCACATCTGCAAAAAAGTCTTCAACAGGATCTTACATATGCACGCATCCACTAACCCTTAACTGACGCGTTGGGGTCTGAGCAATCCCATGAATATTTGTAGAATATTTTATTTTTATTCAATAGTTACTTAAAGAGACGCATTTTTATTTCAATGTTTTCTTGCATGAGAATTCTAAACAACTAGTTGTGTAATAAGTAGTGATTAGACTCCGGATTTTTATGCAAAATAATAGTTTCTAAAGTAATTTATAAAGACAGGAGCAATCGTAGAAATTTATTTTCCCTCTTAAGTATCTTATTGGGTTCAGAATAAAATAAAAAACTCGTTGGATCCTATTAAAGTTTTGTTTTTTATTGTATTTCACAGAGCCATGTAGGCTATAAATGCATAAAATCCGCAGTCTAATAATGATATTTGTGTACTATAAAATTTTAGTAATAAATAACAGGTAATAAGATTTACACCTCACCAGTTAGTGATTAACTCACTTTTACACAAGATTACCAGATTAATTATTAAACACATCAATAAAACCGAATCTGAAGGTTCCACTACATCAACAATCGTATAATGATTATTCGAAAAATTTATACATAAGCTTTACAGATTCAGAAACAATTAAGCGCAAACAGTGATCGACCCAACCAACATAATACATCACGACGGACACTCCGTGGCAACGTTTCTCACGGCCACTCGTGCCAACAACGAAGACTTCCGAAAACAAATCGACCGTATCAAATCCAACCGGGTAATCGCGGAATCCATACCGGGCTATTTACCTGCGACAACCGTGGAACCATCGTCAGCTTCTCCCCACGCCGGAGAGAGATCGATTTACGTCCAGAGCACGGTGCCCTCCTCGTCGTCCCGGGGAGGATCGGTTTCGCAATGACGCGGAAGACGCGAATTTCACGTGGCAGTTTCACGGTATCGGCAGAAGGAGATGGACACGGTCGCTCCGGATCCCCTTTCCTCGATAGAAAAGGACGAACAGAGGAGGGAAGGTGAAGGGTTATACGAAGAACTGATGGTATATAGGCTTCTTACTTGGCATCGAAGAAAAAGAAGATCACGACTAGGACGTAGAGTAGTAGTGGTAGTAGGAGGAGGAGGAGAAGAAGGAGGAAGAAGAAGAAGACGATGAAGAAAAGGACGAAGAGGGCGAGCAGGTAGGTGGGTAGGTAGGTAAGCAAGCGAGCGGTCAAGCAAGAGGAACTTAGAGAGGAAAGAGGCACGGGTAGGGGTTGGGAGGGATGGGAGGGAAAACGAAGGAGGGGGGATAGTTTGCTC